ACAGAAAGTCCTCAGAGAATATGGATATGTGCAGTGTATGTTGGTTGAATTATAAACAGGAAAAGGTTTCCGTGGGATGTATTTTTAATGAGAACACATTGTTATACTGCGAGCATGTGGCATTCTTGCTTAAGAGAAACATTTACAAGAACACATACACATTTCTATCCAAACACCAAACGAAGTAGATACTTTAAACGACCAGTTTGCACCAGAAATAAAATATATTATACAAAACGGGGGGTTATATCCACAGTCATTAATTTTCATTTTCTACACAAAACAATAAATTAAATCACATTATATGCAGATAGTTCTACTTACATTAAAATAATAAATTGTAGCTTGTGCAGCTTTTATTTTTTTTTCTACCATACTCATGGTAGATTTGTATTGTTTGGTAGTCCTATATTTAGAATAACAATGAGTAATATGGCCCAGAAGACAAGGGCTGCAGAAATAATCCTCCACGGTATCTATTCCATGTCCTCTTGGTTTCAACTATTCACCATGCATGAGGAACAAAGCTCAGATTCCCAGGACCCAGCAAAAAGAGTCTGCAAACTCACAACATCTCCAGGCTGTTGAGGGCACCCCATTGCTGTCTTGCAAGTAAGATGCACCACTTTGAACTCTTTCAGATGTTGGCATTAAATAATAAATAGGGCATCCTATATAGAAATCCAACTTTTCCTCTTTCTCGAAATTTTCTGCCCAATTATTGTGTGCTATCACAGCTTTGTTCCCCTAGCAAATAAAAAACAATTTGGTAGTCATGTGACGATTTATACCCTTGGTGGAAGGGCCCTTTATTCCTGTGCATAAAATTTAGGTCTTTAAACATGTGAATCAAAGTAACACCATTTTTGCTAACTCTTAATTTTGCTTGTTCAAATGTCTCCCCTAGGAAACATTCCACGCCTGATACATCAAAGAGCTATTATAACACATGCATTTTTACTTCTGACACTCGACTCCCATTGAAACCCTTTCACCATGTTCGACGTAGCTTAAAACAGGAGCATTAACAGCATCAGCTGGTTTAGAATTGCTTTACCTTTGGTATGAATTAACATTAGTGGTTAATGAAAAATTTGAACAAACTCCAATCTAGCCCCTTTTGAAAGTCATTTTAATCCTAGGGTCTAGCTGTGGGGTATGCCTTCAAGAGACATTCGTGAGATCTACATGCTGAAAACCAAAGCGAGGCTTGTTGGAATATAGGCACATCACAGGCTTGCCCAGCCCCAGAGCATGTGTGGGTTCTGATCCAAAGCCAGCTACGTTCTTATAGGCAGCACTATTTTGTCTTTTTTCCCTCTGAGGAAGTACAGAGGTCCTACTCACAAGTTTCTACCTGCATGGGCAAGATGCCAACTCATCTTTGGAGCTTCAAGTGGATGGTGCGGGGGTGGGGGGGTGTTGAGGGAGATGGATGATGGCAGGGGTTGTGAGTGAGAAAGGAGTGGTAAGGACAGGGGCTAGTTGCAATGCCACTCTCTTCTGTTTGTTTTGGAGGATCAAGCTCCTGATTCTTCTGGCTGGATGTGTCCCAAGCTTCTTGCTGAGTCTGGCTGTTGAAGATGGGCTAAATTATTGGGTATTCTGTAGTTTTAAAGATCAATTGAAAAAGAAACAAATCCCTCTGAACAGCACCTTCTCATCTTCTATGCTTCCACACTGCCCCCAAAACATATTCTGTGTTTTCAGACAGTTTCAGTTTTTTCCACTGAAGAAGAAATTCAGCCTATTTTCATCTTCTCCATGAAGCACTAACCACCAGGGGCATAACTAAACAGAACCCCTGAAATATAGATCGAGGGGCCTAATTTGTGTTGGTGTTTGGTTTTATACTGTACCCACTCAGGATCTGCATTCTTTGGGTCCCAAGAAACATAAGTATGCATTCCTTTCAGTTTATAAACAATCCCTTATACTGGTGGTATAATATTTTATTTGGCCTCCTAAAGAGACTTCCACAAATAGCTCTGTATACTCACTCACAAGAAGGTGATGATGCCATGGGAAGCTAATTTCTGAATTGTCACCGTCTGTATGAGTTCTATACAGTAGCTTTAATTTCACTGCCAACAGCATAGCTTACACTCCCAAAATCAGTAGCAACCAGAAGGAAAGTGTTAAATTAGGGACAAAGGGGGCACAGGTACCTTGAATAAGTTAAGAACCCTAGAACCTGTGAACAGGGAGAAGTGATGGGAAATTTTAAAGCAAAAGTCTGAATTTCAAGGAAGAGGAGAAAAGGAGACATTCTCTTTCCATACATTTCTCTTCTCCCTCCTTTAAATATAGCTTCTGAAATGTAAAAAAATAATAATAATAACTATCTCAAAGCCTGTGAAACTATGTCTGTGGTTCAGGAAAGGACAAGCTGACAGTTCTGAGAAATGTAATGTTATAGGGGCTTCCTTGTGGATACTGTAGTCAGTCGGGGGGAAGATACGCACTCTATACAGAAAATTATTCCTGGATAGAAGTGATCATCTGGAGAAAGCTTTTATTTTTGAATCCAGAAAAAAAAATCTAAGAAGGTGACAATGATGACCATAAAACCTATACTTACTTCCAACACCATGAATATATACAAGAAATATATACTCATTTTGACCTATATAAATATCAGCTTCTTTGGCCAGATGAAAAAATACTGATAAAGTTTCCCTTCTGAAATCTGAATGCCCTAGATTTCAGGGTAAAAATTTATAGAGTGATTTAAGAATTAAAGCCCTATTTATTTTACTGTATGATATGTGGCTTCTGGTGGAGTATGAATGACTAGTTGTCAAAGATGCTGCTTAGCAGTAAGGAAATTAAGTCCCAAATTATAATCTCTAGAGGTCCTAACCCAGAATACACTTGCGCCAAACACCTACACTTGTAGCAAAGTTTTCCAACTTAATGGAGTTTTCAAAACTTAATGGAGTTTTGGTAACTCATATGATGACTTCAAGGAGGAAAGAAGTGAAAACAGACACGTAAATAAGCACTCAGTCTTAGGAACGCCCAGAACGGTTAACTTTGGAACCGAATGGCATGTACCTATGAGAAACCTCATGACTTGTTCTGCCATTTTAAATAAAACTAAAATCTCACTTCTACCATTTTGTCTGGGGATATAATATTAAATTTAGAACTATTCCTCTCTGTGAAGGAGAAATAAAAGATATTTGCTTTAAAAATGTTACAGTTAATGTTACAGTTACAGCCCCTATATTACTTCCAGAAAGGTTAGAAATATTCACGTCCAAAGACTGCAACCAGGCAGAGTGATTTCCCACCTGTAATAAGCACATAGGCTTGAAATTTAAATTTTTTTCACAAACACAAGGTAGTATAAAATGAATATCTCTAAAATACATTGAAAATATCATGAAAAATAAAAATGAGAGAGAAATAAGCTTTCAATTCACAAGAAAAAGATGGATGCAAACCTTCCATTCTGTTTTCACTTTGAGGAGTCCTGAGTTGTTAAATGTTTTGCTTTCCTAGATTTTACTTCCCAGACTCTCTTCCGACATTGGAATTTCTGGACCTTGCCTTCTTGTCTTCTTTTGCCTTCCTTTTTTGAGTCAGCACTTTTTCCTTTGCATCCACCATGGAGAACTACAACAGAGTCATTTCAGTTGATCATAGCTCATTTGGTTAACATGCTCTCCAACTGCCTAAATCCCATCTTTTAAATGTAGAAGGGCAATATGCCTCACACAGAAATAATCCATTCACTGAAATAATCCATTGGCTGGTGGAAGTAGGAGGGACAGAGGCAGACTCCTCCAGGGAAACAAGTTCAGGCCAGCTTCCAAGATATGCAGCTTTTTTCCCTCTGCCTGCCTCCACTCCCGCCTGTGTGAGCTATGACCTCCATCATTACCAAGGAGTTGCTCAAACTCCCCTATTTTCCTCCCTATGCATGATCTTTTATAGTCACTAAGATAATTTTAAAAACTATTTTCCAGATGTTCAAAATGTTACTAAGGAAAGCCCCTAGTGACATAATTACAACATGGTATGCTAATCTGCCAACTCCCTATTCTTCTCTCACTATTTTCTCCATAAATTATCAGCAAAAATGGCAACCTGAGTTTACACCTATGTGCAGAGTACTGGGTGCAAAGTAGATATTCAGTAAATATTTATTTAACTTTGTTCAAATCTCTTATATCTATACCTCACCCGCTATTACACGGGTTATTAGTGGATGACTATAAAGCTTTGTGGAGTCAACTAAGAAGGAATATAGTAGCTATTAGATTCCCTCTTTTAACCAAAATATCACTGAATCTTGTAAAATGTCATGTATGCATTTTTAAATTTATCATTTCTGTGCTTACTGTCAAATTCTAATACTCTATAAGTTGTTCTTAAGGAAAAAGGGCTGCCTTAAACCCTAGTTAATTCTAATCAGTTCCACTCTTTATCTTGAAACTCATCATTTGACCAGAACTGGAAGAGGTCTATTCTAAAATAACTTTGCATTTAAAGCAGGTAAATCGATGTCCTCCTGTAGAGTCTGTGATCTGAATACATTTCTAGATCTCTGTAATTAAAGTAGCAATTGGCATTTGGCTTTGGCCAAGAGGGATAGGGAAAAAGGGAGAGTAAGAGAAGCATCTTTCATCTTTGCTGGTTTGTTGTACACTTTACCCATGCTTTTAAAATATAAGTGGAATTTAATCTTCAAAATGAAAAAATAGACACATTTTCTAATAGCAAAATATAAGATTAAAATACCTAAAAATAAAATGTTAGTGTGAAATAGGGCTTTTTTTTTACATTAAAAAGTGAAACATTTTAGATTTGCTTTTCTTATATAAATCCTCTTATCTTAATAATAGTTACAACTTTCCAGAATAGCTTTTATGAGACACTGAAGAAGATAAGCAGGAAATCCTTTTTCGAGATATGAAGTCAGGTCCTGAATATATATACATTGGACAGAGCAGTCCTCAACTTCTAATCTGTCCACAAGCACTAGAAAAAGGAACACTGTATTTCCAACCTTGGGATTTTTCATTACATTTTCCTCTTTTTGGATGTTAAATTCTTTCCAAGAATATTCTACTCGTAAAAATGATCTTATTCTAGCTATAAAACATTTCATTTAAGAAAACCACATTTTTGTAGCCTTATATGAAATGCCCCCAAAAACCATCAAGATATGGAGACATCAGATTTTCAAACATAAATCTAATCATATGCCCTTGCAACAGTATGAACATTTAACAGAGTGATGTTGTATTCTCATATTTGTTTGTAATCGGGTGAAAGGCCAGGAGGCATATGGTGATTAATTATAGTTCCTGAGCTTCTAAAGAAATTTTACAATGAAATGACTAACTGCTTAAAAGAATGAGTTCTTCAAGAGCGCCCCTTCTGTTCCATTGATGTCTTTCATCCCATCTATCTCCTTAAAGAATCTCAGGCCAAAAGAAAAGGCTTTCTTTTAAGCCACTGAAAAATGGGATCTGATGGAATCTTCCCGTAACTCTCGATGTTTTCCAACGTTACTTTCTTCTTGCTGGCTTCGCCTTTCAATGGTTATTCTGTATTTCTTCCTGGGTAAAGGGAAAGTGAATGTAGTAATAAAATCTCACTTGGCTACAAAATACTATGGTTTCTCTTACAAAGAATGCCCTCAAGGGACATCTGGGTTTGGGTTGATAAATGAGAAGTGACAGAATACGAAACCCTGGTCAGAGATTAAAGCAGTGTGCCCCAAGGCGTTATGCCCTTATTCAAGGAGGAAAATTGGCATGCTTTCTGAAATGCCATAGAACAAGCCCTCCCCTTTTTCCCTGGGTGCCTTGTGGGTTAAGTCTTGTCTATTCTGCCACAGAAGCTCTCCCTAACTCCCAGGATATGCCCTAGATAAAGATCAGATTAAGTGTACTGTGACCAAAGGAACAGGAATACAATTGTTCCCACAAAGACTCACATACACCCGGGGTTACATTTCCATACAGAAATGAAGAAATCTTGGTCTAATGACTTGAGACTAAGCCACAAACTCAGTCACCAAAGATTACAGAGGAATGGACCGCCCTCATGATTTACGACTATCAATACCTTGAACACACGTAAATATTACAATTTTACAAGTTTGGGGGCTTAACCACAGTGGCAATTAAATGTGTGGATTCTCCAATTACTGAGCACAGACCAGCCTGAGAGTGTGGCCTGCTCAGAACCACCTCCCCCTCTTCAGAAGATGAACCCAGACACTTATTTCTGGGTCAGAGGCAGCATAAGAATAGGTAAGTTGTTTCTCCTTTGTCCAGATTCCCTCTCCACTTACACATTTGGTAGGAATTTACATCAGAATATTTGTGATCAGAGGAGGGCAGGGCTCTGTGGCCCACAGGGGGATGCAGTAGAAAGCCCTGGGCCACTGCCCAGTGTGCTAACCCACTGACCACCGAACCAGCAGGGTCATGAAGACCGTCAAAAAGAACGGCTTCGTTCTTTTAACCGCCATGTTTTCAGGGTAAGAGCAAGATATGGACAAGTCACAAGGAGGACTATGCAAAGGTGAGTGACCAAGGCGACAGTGAGTTCTAAAACTTGATAAAGCATCCTAACCTGAAAAAGTAGAAGGCCATTAACAAGCCAGCTCCTAGTAAGGCTCCCACAACGATTCCTGTCACTGCTGACTCTTCTAGACCACCTGCTTAAAAAAGAAACATAGACCATCAGAGTTCATTTGGAGAAACAGAAATGTCTCAAGTCTTAGTCACTGGAAGGTATATCCCAATCTCCCACTTGTGGCAAATTTTCTTTTTTTTTTTTAAGAAAGTTCTTCTAGGGGATCCTGCAGTTTCCTTTTTTTTTTTTTTTTTTTTGCCAAGTACAAAGCTTAAGAAGCATTTAAGAAAGGACCATAGGAAAACAATGGGAATAAAGCAGGTTCAAGAAAGATCTGAGGAATGCTGGAAACAGAGGTTTTCAGGTACATCCATTCTCTCTTGAGCTCCTAGTCAGAGAAGGCAACTGGACGGGCCGTGGGGCTGACCCAGTACATCTTATTTTCACAGACAGATGGTGACACTTCAAAGTGCTAGAAGATTTGGTGAAAAATGATTTGGGCTAATGTTCTGTTTTTAGATGTTCTCTCACCAAAGCCGGAGTTTCATGTCAAAATGTCCTATATAGCTTTGTGAAAACGTGCATATCAATTTGAAACAATCGAGTTCAGTAGCGTCCCAGTTATTATATAAATATGATAAGTAGCCTTTATACAAACAGTATATATTAAACAGCCTTTAATGCATTATCCCATTTAATCCTCAGCCCAAAGGATTGGGTACACATTTTTCATTTTACATATGGGGAAACTGAGGTTTAAAGAGGTAAAGGAACATTCCTAGGATCACAAAACCACTAAGTGACAAGGGTGGGATTTCAAATCCACGCCCAGAACTCCAGAGACTTTTTTTAACATATGTCTGCTTTACTCCCTCCCATAATTATCGCATATACACAAATCACACCGTTTGAAGGCTGGTCCCAAAGTAAGGAGCATACATATATTAGCCTAAAGTGACTAACTGGCCCGAAAGATCGATATTCCCTTGGTTCTCCCTCACTAGCTTATCTCTAAAGCAAGGATTTCCAGCAATTTCCTATTTGTAGGCTCCTTGTAAGAATGTCCACCTGCTTCTATGTTTATGTTTGTTTGATATCCAAACAAAACACTCATAAAAGGCATATTTTACACTGATTTGCCAATTTGTAAATCTGAGGGTGTTTAAGGGATATTACCTGTTTGGTTCTGAGGGATAGAAGGACACCTACAAACTCTGAAAATCAGAATGAGACTTGCTACACATGTAATATGGGCTCTTTTTCTTTTCCCTAAGTGGACATCTCAAACGTGAAGAGATTGTATTATGGTAAGAGGGGTAATAATAGGGAGAGGCCTTCTACCATTTTGAAAAAAAGAAGAAAGACCTAGAAACATCTGACGAAAGTGGGATGCCAGTTTGTGTACTGCTCCCATGGGTTTTACCACATCAGAAAAAGCAAGGTGGACTTTCAGAACATGAGTTCCTGGATAGAATCTGTCTTTTAAACTTGCATTGTGGTGATAGTGCAGACTGTGAAAAGCAGAGCAAATTAAGTCTCTAAACTTACATGATTTGCAAGGAGAGCTGTTTGCATGCTCCACAATTCTGGTCTCATCTATTCTCAGTTTTAAAGGTCCCCAAGGATATTTGACATTTGGCCGCATTTCAAAACGACCTTCTTTTCCAAAGTAATCACCAATGACCTATGTAAAAGCAAAAAACAAATGTGCAAACTGAAAGCTCAAAGTTCTCTGTTTCCAAAGGAGGCGTAGGGTGGGCGCCCCGTCACTCTGACTATAATGATGTCTTTTTGAGGACTTTGTAAATCAAGATTTGCAGTCACTAATGGTGCTTTTAAGGTAAGCATAATTTAGGGAGAACTGTGGCTCCCTATAGCAGGAAAGCGGTTATACAGAAAACAACAATCTCAGAAGTTATGGCTTTTCCCTTGCTCATCAGAGGAGGTGCCACTCCACGCATCTGCCCTCCGCCACCGAGCAGCCCACACAGTCAGCCCAGCCCAGCCCAGATTGCTTTCAGGGATGTGGGAGAGAGTCGGGGCCCACCTCATAGCCAGATTAAACCATTACAGGTACACAGCCTCATACCACTCAATCAGCTGGGCATATAAAGAGTCAAAAAGGGGGCACTGGGTGGCTCAGTCTGTTAAGCGTCTGCCTTCAGCTCAGGTCACGGTCCCAGGGTCGTGGGATCGAGCCCCGCATCGGGCTCCCTGCTCCGCGGGGAGTCTGCTTCTCCCTCTCCCACTCCCCCTGCTTGTGTTCCCTCTCTCGCTGTGTCTCTCTCTGTCAAATAAATAAATAAAAATCTTAACAAAAAAAGTGTCTTTTAGGAACATCCTCTTTCACCCTTCTCTGGCTGGAAGATTAGTCAGTGACTTCAGGAGTTCACTCTCCTCTCTGATGAATTTACCTATTTGTGCCCCCATTTCCAGACTGAACTCTCTTTTTCAACGGGCACAGTCTTCCTTGCTGACTCGATTCAAGGTTTGTCCAGTTTCTGTTTCAAACCGATGTTTCACCAGCTACCTGAGCCCTGATCTGGAAGTACCTTCCCACCCAGGTTCTCGGGATCTGTTTCTCTTTCTGCTGGGCACCCGCACATTGCTCCCTGAGTGGCCTGTGACATCACCCCTCTCTCTCCTGACAGAGGCCCAGCAAGCTTCCACAGGCTAGTTCATGTCGTAGTGAAAAGAATTCTAGATAATCACCAAAATCTAACGATCACTGGCATGTGCTGAGCACTTACCAAGTACTTTACACACATCCACTCCTGAATGTTCACAGCCACCCTACAATGGACGATTACTATCCACCTTTCACAGAGGGAGAGACCAGAATGTCCACAAGACCCAGGCCACTCCAAGGGTTAAAGAAGCATCCAGTAAATGTAGCAAGTGCCAGGTTCTGCTGGCTCTGCTCTTCCCACAAAGGCCCAATACATGTGCACTAGGAGAAAAGCAGCAAGTCCCTTATGCCAGGTCCCATCAGGTGCCATGGGAACATCAACTCTGGGCGACAGCCATCCAAGAAGCACACTTGGCCACTGGAAACATAGCATTTGCCCACTTAGGGTAAACATGGAACCATTTCTTGAAATCATCCAGGATATCCTCAACCAGAAGTAAGCCCTCCCTACTCGGAAACACCAAGACTTTCAGCTCATTTTTATTTGGAGACTGCGTTGGGGACAGCTATGTGGACACGGGGACGAAAGCATTCCTTGGAATCTCAACAAGCAGAAGGAGCAGCCGAGGCAGGGTGTCATTTGCTCACCTCCTGGGTGCCCGCCTCGGGGTCTGTCATAGCGATCACGGAGAAATCCCCATACCGGTCTCCGTTGGCATCTATGGACACCTGCCCAGCAATACCTAGAGGATGAGATGTGAAGAACTCCAAGTTAGTGACTTACAAGACCTCCATCCGCCAACAAAAACAAGAAAGTGAATTGACAGGATTCTTTAAACAAACTCATGCCACAGGGAATCTCATCAGACTCTGAGCATTTTTGTTGGCATTTGGAAAGACATTGTACTGTGTCTGCATTCCTAAATTCTTAACATTTCTTCATTTAAAAATGAAAAGAAAAAGAAATAAATGACCTTCTTCGGGGAATATGTTAAAAAAAAATTAAAGCTAATCCTGAAAGCAGCATGCTTATCCCAGAGTTTTGTATTAATCAAAAAAAAAAAAAATCTGCGAGGGAGAGAGGTTGGAAGTGCAGTGTGCTCCTAGACTTGTCATGAGTATGTGTTATCACTGACCAAACATTAGAAAAGAAAACTCGTTCTAAAATAACATAAAATTAAAAAAAAAAAGAAAAGAAAACTCGTTCTAGGCCCAGGACTCAGCAAATTGCTTCATTATGGGCTCCCGTGATGCCCAGGAAAGCTGAGGGCCTGCTTCATGGGTCACGGGGGCCAAGAGCTAAAGAGGAGCTAGTCTTTACCCCACTGTGTCCACTCCTGTTTGTTTTGTTTTGGGGTTTTTTCCACAGCTTTACTGAGCTATAATTGACACACATCACTGTATGAGTTTCAAGTGTACGGCACAAAAGACTGACTTACATATACTGTGAAACAGTGACCACGTCAAGCGTAGTTGACATCCACCATCTCACAGAGACACACTAAATCAGTCATTGTTTATCCAGATGAGTTCTGGGCCAGCACTAGGTGCTGAGTTTAATGCCACTGCCCAGGCAAAGATGAACTGGACACATTCTCCCCCTCAAGACAGGGGCAGCCCGGACTAAGGATTTCTGACTACATGTATTTGAATCCTAGCTTTCACATTTATGAGCTCCGTGTCCGTGGGCAAGGACTTAGCCCTCTGGGCCTTGGTCTTTAAGACCGTAAAAGAGAGACACCAGCACCTCCCAGCCAAGAGGCTGTTGAGACGATTAACTGAGCCACGACAGGTCGAGCACTTGCGCCGCAGGTGTAAAAGATGTTAGCTGCTTTCTTCTGCTGTTGCTACCGCCACTGGGCCTGGAAGCTGGGAGTGGACCTCCGACCGTGCCCATGCCACTCAGAGAAGGAGTTGGCGTCTAGTTGGAGACTCAAGCAGACTCAGTAGAAGAGCAGGTCTTTTATAGGAATGTTAGTGAAGTCCATGACCTAGACAAGTAGCCATGAGGGAGTAGCACTATTCTCAGCAGAAAGGCCAGCCTTGTTAGTATTTAAAGGCATGGAAGCTGAAAGGAAGCAGAGGGACCAGGAGGTTCTGGGGGAGGTAGCCCCTGTGTGTGGAAGGAAGCAGTGAGATGTCAGACTGGAATCGGGTGGCCCTAAGCGCCCACATGAAGGATTTGAATTTGCCTGGCTAGCAACAGTGGTTTAGACAGCTAATCAGTAAAAGCAAATATGTATCATTAGTTGCTATTAAATACGTCTGCATTGTAATTTTCATTAACTAAGTAAGAGAATGCATATGTCAGCCACTTCCTAATTAACTAAGACTATTTGTTTTCTTTCAGTTTAGACCCTAATAGAGTTCAGTGTAATTCTTAGTGTTTCTATTGATTTGATTCTCTCCGGAAGTAAAGTGAATGTCTGGGAAAAGCAATCCCAAGGGAAAGTTCCATCCTCTGGTGTGGTTTGGAGAGGGCAAGTATTTGGGTTTACTGTCCTTTGGGTTGTGGTTTGAAGGCCCACTGATTTTTCCAGACTTTGGTCTACTTTGCCACAAACAGAATGGAGCTACCATTCATCTTGATTTTTTTTTTTGTCTTTTTAATACAGACTGGTTACAAAGTATACACCTATCTCAAACTTGTTTATCCTTGACAGCCTATACAACATTTAGGTAAGAAATGTCATTTTTAAAAATCATATTTATCTCCAAACATATTGCTTATCCAAAACCATTTGTCATTCTGTTCAGAGGTGTTTATAAAGGTGTGTTCTGCTAAGGCTTTTGCAGAGTATTTTAGAAAACAAAGTGGCCCTAGTAATCCAAGACCTCATTACACTTTAGGTTATTACAATTCTGCCAAGAAATGGAGTGAGAACCCTCCGGGTGGCCGATTAGCAAGTGAGAGTTCACCTGAGAGTATTGTGTTAAGGTGAGATTGTAGGGCTGACAGCAGAATTTTCCTGTACATAAGTAATGAGATTCTACCCCCATTTCTATTGGCCTGTAGTGGACCTTAGGTTTGAACCACAGTCTTATTTACCTTGTTACTCTGACCTCTCACAGAGAGGAAATTCAGCTTCTTCCCAGGCCGTTTATTGAGAGTCTTGAGAGATGGTCATAGGTTTCAAGGTAATAAAATCCAAATTTGTCAAATAACATCCGGAGTATTTTTCCCTTGACAATTTAATGGTCACTTACAGAGTGACCATTTCTCAGAGTTCTTTGGGGGGCTACCCTCAGATTGATCACTATTTAGCAAATAAAATGAGCTTTCCAAACAATTCAAGCCCAATTGGCTTCAATTATCTTTACATTCAGATACATAAGATTCTAAGTTTAGCCTGAACTGTATAGTCGATCGTTCTAGGACTTATTCCATATTGCCAGTATAGACCTAGCCCTGAAATGGAAGTATCAAGACAGGCTACAGGAAAATTTAGTCCATGCCCTCTATACAAAACTGAATTCCAGCCCTTGTGGGCATCTGCCCTTCCCTTCACAACCTCCTTCAGAAGACCAGGAACAAATGTCCAGTGAGGAAGCTGAGCTTGTGTCCACACACGCCGGTTTCTCAGTGTATTGGGCACAACTTCTGGGAAATCTGACTCTGTCCTAACATGCCCCCTGAATTATCCTATTTGATTCTAGCTCAACTAAAGCAGTCTGAAGTTGAGCAAGACAATCCGAGAGGCTTATTGGTTCATGTCCTCTAATCTGTCTAATGTTAAAGTAGATGTCACTCTAGTTTTGAGTAAGATGCAACATTCAATAAAGTCACCAAGGAGAAATTAAATCCATTGTCACCATAGCCGCTGCCCAGACAGCTGGAACCTGACCCCTCTAATAAGCAAGGGCAGCGTGAGGCCGGGAGTGCATTGAGGTCCCAAAGGAAAACCCATATATATGGGCCCCAAATCCAGACTTGGAAGTACTTGTTTCCCATCACTGAAAAATCTCATTCATTGAATTACAAATAAATGTAGAAAGGGCTCAAGGGAAGAGTTGGCAGGATGCAGGACTGAACTTTATCAGAGACCTTCCCTGGTCACTTTCTTTAAATTAGCCATCTCCTACCACCCCCTCCTGCCACTTTCTGTCTCCCTACCCTGCTTCATTTTATAGCCCCTGAAATGGTGTACTTATTTTTTTATCACCAGTGCCCCCCACAACCCTGAAAGCTCAGTTGATTGCAGGGAGAATCTTTAGTTCACTGCTGAATCCTCATCACTTTGAACCATGCCTGGCACATAGAAGGTGCTCAAGACTATTTGATGAATGAACGACTGAATGAATATGAAATTGATAGCTGCAAGTCTCTCGCAACTGGGTCATTCTCAGGTTCATTTTCTTTGAGTGTGTCAGTGAATTGAGAGGAAACCAGCACTCTATATGCTGTTAGCAAGAATTTAGACTAGTAGACCTTTATGGAAGATATTTGGCAATATTTAATTAACTTTACAAAGCACTAACATAGGGTGCCTGGGTGGCTCAGTTGGTTAAGTGACTGCCTTCGGCTCAGGTCATGATCCTGGAGTCCCGGGATTGAGTTCCATATCGGGCTCCCTGCTCAGCGGGGAGTCTGCTTCTCTCTCTGACCCTCTTTCCTCTTGTGCTCTCTGTCTCTCATTCTCTCTTTCTCAAATAAATAAATAAATCTAAAAAAAAAAAAAGCACTAACATACATTTCGACCCAGATATCCCATGACTAGAAATGTTCTCTGTTGGATGTACTCACAAATATTCATCAAGATGTGTAACATGCCTGTGATGGCATTTTGCATGACAGCAGAAACTGTAAACAACTGCAGTATCCATCAGTAGGAGACTGACTAAAGGAATCTTTATGCAGCCATATGGTCAAAAAGTATGGAACTACCATTTAAAAATGTGCTGAATCTATGAGTGCTCATATGGCAAATTTTTTTTACTTGACATAGAAGTTTAAAAAGCTGAGATGAAGAGTGGCGTTCATCATATGATTCCTTTTGTGTATGTTTTTTGATAAGATATACAAAAGCATAAGGGGTGGCAGAAGGCACAAAATCTTTTTAGACCGACTCATAGGAAATTAATAGTGCTTACATTAGGGAGAGGGGACTAGGGTGGGAGGGAAAACTTTCACTTTTCATTTTGTACATTTTTGTACTGTTTAAATTTTCCAGCCAAGAGTAGTCTCATTCTTGGACAATTTTTCAGTGTCAACAGAGGTTGCTTGAGTAATGAGATTATGGGCCATTTTTTGCCATGGTTCTTATACTTCTCTGTTCTTAAGAAGGCCACAGCTGATAGTCACCATCTTAAAAATAAAATAAAAGCACAGGGCTTGTTTGGACTTGCTTATCATCCCAAACCATCCAGGATTGAACAGATGAATGTATATATCTAGTACTATTTCTTTTAAAACTGATCACAGAACTCTTCACAAACTGATTATTTGTTGTGAATGAGGTTTGTGATAAATTTAATTTGAAGAAGCATAGAGTTGTTACCTAACAATCAGACGGAGATGAGGCACTTCCTGCATCAGTGGGACTCTATCAAAGCACTTTCACAAGCTTTATCTCATTTAATTTTCACAACAAGCCTGTGAGGTGGGTTGATCTTGACCTACTATCCTCACTTACAGCTGAGAAAAACAAGAAACTGACAATGTCCCACAGGTGTAAGAGAGAAAAGCAGAACCAGGGAAGAAGCAGCTTGATCACCTACAGAGTGTTGTCGCCTTACAGACCGAATCCTCACCTTCAAATGTCCTGTTCCAAGTCTGCTGGATAATTTTCCCTCCATCCTTCTTGCTGTAACCAGCTCTGAGTACTTCATGTAAAGCCAGAACATAGAGGAGGATGGCATCGTGGAATCCTTCAACAAACATGTTAACCTGGAAAGGAAACTCCAGTTGGGTGAGCCCAAACACCAATGTCTCAACATTCATGAATAAGGTAAGCAAATCAAAGCAGTTAAGCAGTTAGACTCAAGGTCCACAAACAGTGGCAGAGATGGGCAGAAGGGTAGCTAACAAGAATCATGCCTTGGTTTTCCTGGCACTGGCTTAGTGAGGAAAACCCTCCCTCAGCTCAGGAATTTGGAGGGCAGACAAGATATTACAGAAGTCAAGGAAATTGCAGCAGTTGATGAGGCTAAGTATTCCAGGTGCATCTGCCTTTGTCCAAAGTTCCCTCTACATAGGAGCCCTCCTCCTTCTTCACGTCTACTCTCTACCTCAAGCCAACCTAAGTCCAACCTCCCCCGTGAGGTCTTCACCATCTTTAACGGTCCCCATGATATTTCCATGGTCTGAATGTGACACCGACTGAAAGAACTGTACAGATCCATTCATTCATTTTCAGATACTATTGAAAGCCTACTCTAGCACTGGTGTTAAGGATTCAAAGAGGAGCAGGGCACTGCCATTTCTACCTGCCTGGCAACTGTGTCCTCTCTTCCATTGGCAATGGCATCTCAGTTTCTCTTTCCAGTTTGTGTTTATAGTGGTTCCTGTTCATCTGACCACTCCCTACCCAACCTCTGGACCACCCCCCTCCCAAGCTCTCACAAACAGGAATGGAAATAGGACCACTGGTTTATCACTGCTGAGTCCTGGATCAAATAAGATAGTCCTTGTCCTCAAGAAACTTAAGCTTCATGTGAATTTGGGGAAGCCTCTTAATTTCTTTCAGCCTTGTTTCATTCCATAAGCACCACTGGAAAGTTCTGATACCATATTTAAACCCATTGAACATTCATTGAACATGATATAAGCAAATACAATCTTGAAATTGAGTAGCTTACAAATTCTGCATAAAAGTACAAAAAACAAAAACAAAAATCAAAACAAGTTTTCTTATTTCAGGAGAAAGTGTCAAGAATGGAATGCCATGGAGCAGAATGAATTCAGCCACTGGGAGTCTTTGTGAGGAGGCATTCTATGCCTCATCCCTAGAAAAAGATCCCACAGGAAGAGAGACACAACTGACCAGCATCACCTGGTTCAAATACACAAGCATTCACAGAAGACACAGCCCCGTGTCCAATACTAGTCGGCCTCATCCCATCCCTAAGCACGGTGAGTCCTGTTCTCATCACAGAAGCAAATATTTTGGATTTGCCAAAGCCCAGTGCTGGAGGCAGTTTAGAATAACGGCTAGAGCCTGGGCTCACTACATAGCTCTGCCACTTCCTAGATGTGTTTCTCCACAACTCGGAGCCTCAGTTTTCCCTCTCTGGAAAATATTAGTACCAATGGGGTTGCTCTTAGGTTTAAATGAATTAGTAGATGTGAAAGACTTCCAACAGCGCCTGACAGAGTCAGTACTCGCTGTTAGGTTTTGGTGTTGTTATTGTCTACATATAGAGAATTATAAACCAAAGGATCTTGCTTAGCCTTTAATTCCTAATAGCAGTATTCAGAAGATAAGTGATCTACTTATGGTATAACATATCTTAGGGACCCATTTTACACTTAATGGAAACTAAAGCTCCTTGTTCATGCTTTAACATACCAAGCAGTTCTCTTACTTCCAGAGTGTCACACCCTTAATTCCTCCCAAGCGTGAAGCACGCAGCCCACGCTGGTCAATTCCACGGACCATCTAGAAAAGGAGGAGGATGGGAAGCATGTTGGTTCACAGAAATCTCAGAGTTAGCTGCTGGACCCAAAGTCTAATCCTAGCCCTGACACATTACTTAATCTCTCTACTCTTCAATTTCCTCATTGGCTAAATGGGGGTTTAGTACCTACTGATCCCACAGAGCTCTTCTGGGGATTAAATGAATTAGTGCATATAAAACATCTTGAAACAGTTTCTGGGACCGCGAGAACAAATGGTAGACGTTGGCTTTTACTCTTAGTCGTCAAGCTTAAGTCTCAGAGTCATTATTTTCTTAGGCAAAGAAGAATGATACAGAAATAACATCTACTGGTCAATGATAACTTTTCTGCTGATTTGGCTGTGCTAATTCAATTTTCCAAAAGAGTATGAAATTTTCACTTAAGCCATGAAGTCATCATGGCTTGAGAGAGTGTGCATGCTGATGAGTTAATGAGTTTTAATAAGTGAACTTAAGCTATGTAATATCTCAGGCCACGATAAAAATTTTTTTCAAAAGATAGCTCTATCTTCCCTTTGATAATTATATAAAACTCAGCCTGCTACAAAAGGAAATCACGGAAGCTTGGGATATGGGAGATGTAAGATGCCTTAGAAAAGCTCTGGTCTAATCCTCTCCTTACTTTTAGAACCAAAAGAGCATCACTCCCATTCAGTCTTCCTGCACTCTCTAATGGAGGGTTGTTCCCTCTCTACTCATTGTTCCTGGAGAGCCTAGTATGCCTCCTGCTTAAACTGTAAAGGACCAGCTACTGGGTATCAGATGTCCACTTCTCTCTCTCTTCTTCCTGATTCCTTCTCAAAATCCTAACGTAGGGCCACCATGCTGTCATCGGTGATCCAAAGCACAGGACAGCCCCAACCCCCTTCTGGCCCCTCCTCTTCCTTCCTTCCTTGATATGCTCTTTCGATTGCCCCCTTTACACTCCCAAATTATCCAGCTGACAAACATGAGCTTGGATTACTCTCTTCCTACCAGGTTTGATGGTAGAAGAGAACAGTTAGGTTCTGAACATGTGTCCAGGTCTGAAAACTCATTCTACCTTGATTTGCAAATGGATTGCAAAATTTACCTTCTTTCCTCTCAAAGTGGCTGAGTGTTTCCCTCTCCTGCCCAAATTAGCAGGAGAGCTGCTGACCCCCACCGAGGTTCACTGGCACCCCAGCCTGCTGTGGGGGAGGTTTCATAACACCTACCTCACAGAACCCCAAGGCAGAAACAAAACCCTACAGACCATCTTTTCTCGGGGAGAACATTCTCACATCCACACGTGTTTTTTAAATGGGAAGCACATTATAGACACTGAAAATTGCAAGTGCAAAAAAAATTTTTTTAAGGAGGGAGAAAAAGATCCAAAGTACTAAGTTGCCTTTGAAACATTTTTCACTCAACCTCCAGGCTAAAAGGAACAAAGTCATCTGGTATGTCCCCCTGCCTCTGGTCATAACAAAATTTGAACCACAAAGTCCTGACTGACAGATCATGCTATTGTTACTAATCAAAGAAAATAGGATTCCCTCACCTGAGTATTCCAGTATTTAGCATCATTTCTAACCAAAAGCTCTTCCTTACCGTCATTAGGCATAAGTCTTTTTTTTTTAAAATTTCTATTTATTTATTTGAGAGAAAGAGATAGCAAGGGAGAGCAGAGGAGGAGGGAGGGAGGGAGGGGCAGAGAGAGAAGCAGGCTCCCTGCTGAGCAGGGAGCCCAACACATGATTTGATGCTAGGACCCTGGGATCATGACCTGAGCCGAAGGCAAACACTTAACCAACCGAGCCACCAGGCACCCCGTAAGTCTTAATTAAATTCCTAAACACAACCATTCCCCTGCTAGATTCTGAGCAATATCGTTCATGAGCCCTGAGAGTTTACAATCTCAACCAAATAGGACCACAGCAACACAAAAACACACAGATGGACTCTACACAAGAAAGTTATGAAGTAGACCATGATGAGGGGCAAGTTTCAGGGTAATAATTACTTGTGCTGTGTATCAAATAAAGCATCTATCATTTAAACAAAATGGAAGTCACTCATCATCTTCCACTCATTCTGGGAAGTTCACGAGAACAAGGTAGCATGCTGGCACTAACACTCCCATCATTTCATCGCCATTCTCTTGATTTTACCCTCTGTAGTTGGCCAGCAGCAGGTATTCCAAATGAAAGAATGCCATTTTGCCACTGGCCTTCCTCTCTGAGAGCTCTTGTCAACCATGTCTATTAATGTTGGTTCGTTGGTTTCTTTGTTTGTTTAATCCTCTATCATGGGGAAAGCTGAATAGAAATCTTATTATATTTTAACTGATCATAAAGAATTACCATTCATGACATGGCTCCTATCTGTGACAGTGAGTGGAGTCTTTCTCATTTCTCTTTGGAGGGGCAAATTCATAGATGAATTCCTCAATGCCTGAGTTCCAAACAAGTAAGCAAAGTATGCTGCATGCCTCAGCTGTTCTGTAAAGTGAGAGTGAATAACACAGGAGTAATCTAGCTCCCCGGGTCGTCTGGATATCTGAGAAAGCCTTTAAAGCTCTCAGACAGAGGCTATGGGGAGAAAGTTAAATGCAAGGCTAGGCTGTCCTGGGATTTTACTTGTGGTATTCATGTAACTCAAGCCTATCACACAGTGTTTCTATCTTCCTTACCACAAACCGATGGTTCCCAGTGCAAATGAGGAAAGCTGAGGGTGTTGGGCAACATTTTTCAAGAGTCTTTTGAAAAAGACATGACCCTTAACCTCTCATTCAGTTGAAGGGGAGAGGAGGGAAATGGAAATTTTTAAAAAGATTTATTTATTTTAGAGAGAGAGAGCACAAGCAAGAGGGGCAAAGGGAGAGGGAGAGAGAAACTCAAGCAGATGCCCCACTGAGCTCAGAGCCTGACAAAGGGCTCGATCTCACAACCTTGAGATCATGACCTGAGCCAAAACCAAGAGTTGGAAGCTCAACCGACTGCACCACTCCTATGCCCCAGGAAACGGAAATTTTGATGGTGACAAGGTAAGAAAAGAGGTGGGTCTAGGACATTCCCTTTCCCCATCATATCAGGAACAATGACAGCTTGTCTGATTAATAATAAGACCCTTAAATGAAACTTATCCTGACCTACCAGGCTCCTGTTGATCACCGACAGGGCAAAGAAATTACCTCGGCATGCCGCAGGGATGGACCAAAGGTTAAAGAATATTATCCATTTGATGAACATTTTACGAGTGATCTCCATGCAATAAAAACAGATTTCATTTTAATTCAACTTTCTGTTG